AAATCCATGAGACTCTTACCTCCAATCAATCCCAGTAAAATCCGAAAGTGGCACTGTGGCTAAAGTGGTAGAGCTCTAGAGTTGAGCAGAAAAACAGTCCAGAGACAGCGCTTAGGCCCAGAGTTCAAGCCCTTGGACCGACAAAATAAAAAAGGCTGCATAGATAATTCTTCTACCTAAAACAATAAAACCTATCTTACTGACTTCTGAAAGCTACCTGGAAATTGCATTTGGTTTGGCTTTCATTTTTCTCTTTAACTTCAGCCATTGTCAGCTGATACAGTTACTTGAGAAGACCCAAGGGTTTTCAGTACTTGCCCTTTTATGATACCAGGCTTCCCTGAGCACAATGGTTTTTAGCCATCCATGTCATAGTTTGGATCCTGATTCTCAGGGTCGAGAATGTGCCAGGAGTGGTAGGATACTTGCCCTGGGTTCGAACCCAAACACTGCCAAAAACAAAACCAAGACGAAACAGAGAAGACTGGCTCCCACGACCCCAGTGATCCACCAGAGCTTTGTCACTGAAAAGACTTAACATGTATCCATCTCCCCAAATTTCCTCCCTGCATAGTTAATTTCCCAGTGTCAGTAACATAAAATGTATTTTATTAAATGTATGTAATTCATAAATTAGCCAATACGCTGGAGTTTCAAATCTCAGGGCTGGGCTGAGCCAGCCAGTCCCTCCCGGGGTCTTCTGGGGTCCACCAGAGGTGGCTGAGATCCTGTGGGGTGCCTGAGGCCCAGGCCACCTTCTCCAGGGTTCTCCATCCGTTATTCTACATTTTTGTGCGTGTTTTCAGCAAGTTAAAATGCACATTTCACTGGAAATGTTCTTTCCAACATTCTTCCTTTTTACCATGACAAGTTTTTTAAACATTTTCCCAGACATCCTTCGGTTCTCGCCTTGACCGTGGTTTTTGCGTAGTGATGATGGGTGAGTTGGAATGGCAGATTCTTTCTCTTTACCATTCCTTATTGTAGTTGTGGTTGTTGGTACTGGAGTTGGAACTCAGGACCTTGCCCTTGCGAGTCAGATATGCTACCACTTGACACACTCCTGCAGCCCAGTTCTTTCTCTTTACATCATCCCATTTCTCCACATGTGTGTTCTTTCTCGTAAGTTCCAAATGGAAACAGAAAGGCCAGTTTTCCAGTTGGGCCAGTGCTGAGATGTACCAGTAGTGCCTAGGAGAGAGAGGGAGGGGGAGGGGGAGGGCTTTGTGTCTTGAGCAGAACTGCGCAGGGTGTGTGTGTGTGTGTGTGTGTGTGTGTGTGTGTGTGTGTGTGTGTTGGGTCAGGGCCAATCCCTGGACTGTGAGGTGGTTTTTTTTTCTTCTAGCTTTCTATAAATTACCAAGACCTAGAGTCTTTCATACCAAAGAAGTTAATTAAACCTTTTTCTTTCTTTCCTTCTCTCGCCATCTTATTTTTATGAACTTTCAAAGCAGCTTTGAATTCCTGCCCCTTTCAGCATCAAAGATGAAAAGCAGTGAAGTAAGAGTCCTCATTCTGCTTTGGGAACCCGGATTATTCCGGCCCGCCATGTTTCACTATATAAACAAATGCACGCAGACTTCTTGCCGTCAATCAAGTGACTGGACAAGAAGGCACCTGATTTGTTCACTTCCCCAGTGGGCCCGTTTCCTCTGATCTCAGCGTCCTCTGGAATTCCTGAGTGGGCTGGTGGAGGTTCCCTTCGGGAAGGGACAGTGAGCCGCCCACTTGGGCCACTCGGGAGGGGCCCTGGGTCACGTGGGTGGGTCAGCTGTCCTTCATGGTTCTTCTGAGAGCCAAGCGCTTAGCAGGGAGGGGCTGGAGGGAGGGTAGCCGCCCAGCACTGTCTCTGCTCAGTCTCCAGCCCAGCAGGGCTGCTGGGATGTAGCAGGTGCTTCTCTGCCCCTCCCTGGGTGGGGGGAGGAGCCCCATTTGCCTGACCCCTGAGTCATTCTAAAAGCTTCGTGGAACCTCTTCATCAGGGCTGCCGGCTGTGCCTCCAGCAGCCAGGGCAGGGAATCCTAGGGGTCACGGCTCCATTCTGCCTCCCCTGCCCTTCTGCCCCTCCCGTGCCTTGCTGCTGCTTGTCCATATTCCACACTCCTGACTTAGAAAAGTGATTCGTGTGCGGCAGTTTACTAACTATGCGAGAGCTTCTTGTGAATGCTCACGGGCTGCTGGCTAGATGCTTTAAGTCCCCAGCGCAAGCGGACAATCCTAAGTCAGCCTGGTTCTGGAACAGCATACGTAAGGCCCTGTGCTCCTTCTTCGCGAAATTCCCCCTTTCAGCACCTCCCAGGAGGATTCTATTAGTTGAACAAAACCCACAGACTTGCTTCCAAGGGAAAATAAAGAAATAATCAGACCCCTATTTCATTCCACGTTTGTTCCTCGCCTTCAAAGTATTTAGGGAACCAGTTGATGCCAGCTGACCAGGAGTAAAATGTGCATCTTAAATTCCGGTGCTAACTTCCTGCTCTGGAAAAGGCAGGTATTATGTTCATTTCCCTGTGGTTCTTAGAGTATAGGATGTAAGCATAGAAGTGTTCCCAACTGCTGCAAAAGCAGCTCTGTATGAGCCGTGTGAGATTCAAATTTACAGGGGAGCGCGGGCTCCACGGGGCAGAATTCCAGCATCGCCAGGCTAGCCTGCCCTTGCCCCCTAACTGTGATGATGGGTGAGCCCTTCCTTTGGGTGTGCAAGCCAGGGACTCTCACGTGCAATGGGACAAGGAGAGTCCACTGTTGTGGTAGCCTATGGCATGTCATAAACACGAGACGTGGAGCTCTTCATCTATTTAATGGCAAGCTCTCTCCTGAATCTACGGGCAAAATAAGGGAAGTGGCAGGAAAAGCAATACATTGCCCATCATGGTTAGTAGCAGGCCTCAGGGTGTGACTTTCACCCCAGGACAGAGTTTGACTGCCTCCTGGGCCCCAGATTGGCTATGCCTGTGTGGCCATCACCATGCATGTAGCTGGCAGTGTGTGTGAGTGCACAGAGATCAGAGGCGTGGCCCACTCCAACCATGAGGTGCCCAGGATTCAAATCTTGGCTCTGTTGAGTAGTGTGAGATTTTTGTTACGTGGAAGTTAAACTAAAACACAGTTCAAAGGATGCTTCTGTATGTGAAGTACATATTTTTTAGAACATTGAAAGATCTGTAAGATCAGTAGACCCTTAAGTTGTTTTGATCAGAAGAGGTGTAGTGCAGTGTTAGGTGTAGGATCTGAGCAGTAAAGACTACCTGTCATAAACACACAGGTCTCTGCAGGCTGGAGTGTCTTGGTTTGCCAAAAACTGTTGGGATTTCAGTCAGGCCCACCGGGTGGGACAGGAGTGGAATATGAAGAAGGTGAGCAGTGTGGGCTGTTGACGATTGAATGTGCTGACCCTTGAGCTGTGAAATACACTTCTGGAAATGCTTGAGTTGGGTGTTTGATAAGGCATGAGCTCATCTCCAGTCTCATTCAGTACTTCGTATCTTGCAAACACTCACTGCATGCTCCTCATCTGACTGAAGGGAATCTGAGTGAAGTAAGACCTAGGACTTGGTCTCTTCCCTAGTCCCAAATAATGCTTTCCTAGGATCCACTAAATTGTCATTTGGGGGAACGCGTTTAAACAACACATCCATTTGAGTTTGGGGAGACTCAGCCAATACACACACCCAGCATCTGTTGGCTGACTACTGGAACTCTCCCTGTCCACCGCACCACCTCCTCCATTGGCACTGGCCTACTGCTCCACCCTGGCCACCATGTGGGCCTGGGCATGTCCAGCCGGCCCTACCCTGTCCCAGAGCTCTGAGTCCACACGGGTCTACCTGCTCATGAGAGCCATAGCTCAATAGCACAGTGGTAGCACATTGTGTGATACAGGTTGTATTTAAACCCAGTACTTAGTACATGTCCAAAGTCTTCCTTGCACCAATAAAATGTTGTCTGACTTTACTCAGGATGGAGGAATTATTTGTAACTAGTTGTCATGTAGTTTCTCACTTTGTACGCTGTGGCCTTAGCTCTCTCCTGAGAGTTACGTACCAATGCAAGAACAGAGAGCCAGAGACCAGGCATACTTGTTTATAGTCACACACCATCACTTCTACCCAGAGGTCCTTGCTCCTCAGATGAACAGGATTGATGAAAAAAATTGGTGGTATTGGGGTTTGAACTCAGGGCCTCATGCTTGCTGGCCAGATGCTCTAACATGTGAGCCATAGCTCACATTCCTTCAGTAATTTTTCCTGATGGGGTCTTATTTTGTTTGCAATACTGGCTTGATACTATGATCCTCCTGTCTATAACTTCCCTGTACCGGAGATTACAGGCATGTACTACTAGGCTCAATAGGGTTTTTTTTTAATGTTTGTTGTACTGAGACTATCTCCAGTGATCTTTCTGTTGTCAAATTCTACCCCTCTTCCTCCCTCCTGTCCTTGTGCCGTTACACGACACAGAGAGCGGTCCAGGTCTCCCAGCCTCCTTCCATGTGGCCTGACTTCCACGCCAAGCCCCAGAGAGCCCCTCTTCTCTCTCTGAACTAGATATGGTGGCCATACATGGGGAACAACATGTTGATGTTTCTTTCAAACATGAGATGCTCATGGATGAGGATGCGGGCAAGCACGGCTGAATTAATTCTGTGTGTTACGTGCACTGTACCATGCACACTGCCACACCCAAGACATGCGTGGAGACCCACGGGTCTGACACAGGGCTGGCACCTTCCTAGACTGACATCGCAGGTCATGGCTGAGTTGAACACGTCAGCAGGTGTTAGACAGCCTGCCTGGGCCCAGCCCCACTCTGTGTCCCGTCCCCGCCGGGCTGCAGGGCAGCTCCTGGCAGTCTGGGTTCACGGGAGGCACTGGACAGGACAGGCCGAGCCGAAAGCCCCCCCCCCAGCATCCCCCAGGGGAAGTGCGGCGGGGGGGGGGCTGGGCGCCCGTTCGAGCGCGTGCATTTCTGGTCTTCACGGCTGTGAAGGCCAGGTGGACATGCACACTCCTGCGTGCCACAAGGTGACCAGAGCCTCATTGGTGCTTCTGTGGGTGCCACAGCCAGTACGGGTGCCAGAAGGGCTCTGGGCAGAGCCTGCGGGAGCCCTGGTCACCCTGTGTAGGGTCGGGGCCCGCTGCTCCCTGCTGGGGCAGCGGGGCCGACGCGCTGATTGCTGCCTGGTCACCCTGCGCAGGGTCGGGGCTGCTGCTCCCCGCTGGGGCAGCGCGGCCGACGCACTGAATGCTAACGCCACGTCCTTGTCCTTTCCAGCCAGCCGCCTCCCCTTCGCGCTCAAAGGCGGGAGCAGAGGACCAGCTTTGCTGGCCCTGCGAAGCCGGCCGGACCCCCGGGAGCAGATGGGCAGTGACCTCGGGGAAGGCGCCGTGGACTCCAGCAATGCAACAGGTACGAACCCAGGGAACCGGGGCACCCGCCTTCCGGCCCGGGCCTGCCCTTCACCTCCACTGCAGTGGTGCTCAGCTGGGGCCTCCGCAGGTGGCCAAGCATAGTGTCCCCATTCGGAAGGCCGGGGGACTGCTGGGGTTCAAATAGGGCCTGGGAAGGTAGAGTCGGCCTCGGGTGCTCGGGAGGCACCTGCTACGGCTGCCTTTCAGACGTTATCTTCTCAATAAATGCTGCTGTCAAATCAGTAACATAATAGGACACAGAGAAGACGGGGTGGCTCTCGAGGGAGGTGCTTCCAGCCAGGGAATCATTGATGGTATTTACGTCTAACAGCTTTGGCTGCTAAACTAGCGAAATAAATGTCCGGATTTAGTAGAAAATGTTCACAAGACAGGATTCTGAGAGCTTTGGAAAGAAAGTCCCTAAAATACAAACAAGTAACTTTTCCTGGTTCTGTGGCAAAGGGGGAACTGTCTTGAGACACAACCATGTGTCCGCGTCCACGGCTGCCGGCTGCCCGTGTGGATGTTGGCAAGCGGGGCTCCGCGTGGCTGGGAAGGATGCGTGTCTGCATCTGCACCTCGCCTCCCGTGAGGGCTGCTGCGGCCCGCGTGCGGCGCTGGTCCCATCCTCCGATCCAACCAGGAGATCGGCTGTGCTCAGCCTGGGTTAGTGGGCAGGGCGCACACAGGATCTGTGTTTGTGGAAGGGCCAAGTTCCCTGAAGAAAGCCAGCGTGTAAGAGGTTCCTGTGGCACAGGAGAGCTGTGTGGGTCGAGAGGCATCCTGAGTCCTCCCCGAGGAGCTGGACTCCAGCCAAGGCTCAGGAGCACTCCCCAGGAAGACCTGGGGAAGCCATTTCTGTTCCTGGCAGAGACAAGCCAAGGGTCTGAGTTGAGTCTGCCTTGGCCAGGTTGGAGTCACAGCTGAGCAAAAACCATGAGGAAGACAAAATACAGTGGGTGATGAGGGGAGGCTGGGGTCGCGGGGGGGGGAGCACCCAGGCCCTGCAGCCCTGGGAGGCCAGAGCTTGGAACATGCAAATTCCAAACAAGAGTGAAGTGTGGGGCTGAAGTGGTGGAGTGTGTGCTTGGTATTGAAGGCCCTAGAAGGAGAAAGGATTGGGAGAGGGCACTTGGGGAAGCATGCCATCTCAGGAGGGGCGCAGGTCTGCTTGGAGGGCTGGACAGGAAGTGTAAGAGAGAGAGGAGCCATTCCTAGGTTTGTTTCGTGTTCTTCTGCATGTCTTCCCTGGTGCTGATGGTATGATGAAGAGGAATGCAGAAGTTCAGAGCAAGACAATGACCTCTGCACGCTGGTCATCATCAGTAAGGGGTCCTAAGATACCCATCCAGCCCATCTTTGCAGGGTCCCCTTTTGTCCTTGCTGCCTGGAAGCTCCTAGCAACATCACCCCCTTTGAAGTTTTGACGGGGAGCAGGCACTGATGTTGGGTGGGGAGTGCCATAAGATGGGGGGCAGGTAGGGGCACAGGCAAAGCCTTTGGCTGTGTTCACACTCTAGGCTTAGATGAGGAGGAGTGGGTAGTGGGCTTTATTTATCCAACCAACCGGCCGCATTGTGTGTGTGAAGGGGTGTCCCCTCCCCGGGCCTGGCGTCTGACCTGACCCACCGCGCTGAGGGAGCTCGTGAGGATCCCGCAGCCTGGGCCTCTGTGAGTCTGTGCGTCTGACTGTGGAGCTTGCTTAAGGACCAAAGCCAGCAACACCCACAGTTTGTTCTGGCCCTGAGCCTGCGAGCTTGAGCCAGTTCCGAAATGCACACAGAATCTGTCTGCAAGGGCCAGAGGAGCCATACTGGAGCTGGGATTACTCACAGTGCAGCCTTGAATGGATGCGGGCGGGGGGGGGGGGGGGGGGGGGGGAGGAGGGGGAAGAGGAGGAGGGGGAGGGGGAGGGGGAGGAGCCTTGAAATGTGGGAACTGGAGGACACAGCTAGCCATCCATTGGCCTGCTGATCTGATCTGGGGGCTTGAAAAACCACCTCCTTGCTCTGATCACCCCCTCCACATCTCCTCAGAGAAAATCTCAACCCAGCCGCGGGCCTGTCTGTCTGTCTGTCTGTCTGTCTCCGTCCCAGCACCAGCTGCACAGGAGCCGGAGGCAGATGTGGAGAGCGAGGGCCCCCGAGGGTCAGGTCACACTTTGTTGCTTTGGGCCGACAGCCAAGGTTTGTGGAGCTAAGCAGTCTGGTGTGCTCTTTGGAGTGAGTTAGCACATTAAACGCTCCTGAGCATTCGAATGTGTAGGCTTCTTATCTGTGTTCTTAGCCGAGAGCATCGGTCAGCTGTGTGCTCCCGGGGACTCTGGCCTCCCTTTGAAGTTGGTGCCCATCTCAGCATCGGCTGTGCGTGGCGGGGGTGACCGGCAGCAGGGGTGAGGGACAGGGGCTCCCGTGTGCTTTCCACGGCCACACCCACAGGACCCTCTAAACCACGGAAAAGGAGCTGCCGCCCAGGAAGGGCGGGAAGTGGAAGGCACACTCGTGTTGATCTAACACACACCCCACCTCCTCATGCACCGCCCCCTGCGGTGGCCATTCTCAAGAGGAGACCTGGACACCACCACTCCAGACCCCATTCCTGTGCTGTTGGAGGGCTTGGTCTTGCTGTCTGTCTGTCTGTGTGTCTGTCTGATTACAGGGAATCATTTGCTAGGTTGTGAATTTCACCCCAGAACAGAGTTCCCTAGCTTTCACTGTCTCCTGGGCCCCAGACTATCTGTGTCTGTGTGGCCATCATCAGTGTTTTCTGCAAGTAACTAGCAGTGTGTCTGAATGCCCAGATATACATGTGTGTGAGTAGATATATGAATGCACATGTGAACACATAAATACACATACATTTAAACACACAAACCTGCACATGCAAATGCACACAGATGTTCATGCACATGTGAGCACTCACAACATGCAAACATGTGTACATATGTGAACACATCAATATGCATCCATAGGAATACATGTGTAAGCACATGTGCACACGGGCCTGAATACACGTGCGAGGTACACGTGTGAACATAGACATGTATATAGCTGTGCCCATGTCAACATGCAAATGTGCATTCATACTCATGCACACACAGATGTGCACCTGTATAGACACATGGACATGTGTCCCCACCCGTGCGCACAAATGCGCTTGCGTGGAGCAGACTCTTGCCTCTGGGGACACCGGCATGTGCTGATGAGACTTCTTGAAGGCAGCCAGCACTTCACTTAGCGCAGTGTCAGGTCCTGGTGGAATTCAACAGGGGGGTTGGCGTGGAATCCAAGGGCGCATCCCAGTCCACGTGCACTGCGAGAGGGGCAGGCACCTCAATCTGCAGAAGTCTGTGAAGAGCAGTGCTCACGCTCTCCGGCTGTCACACAACCAGAGGAGAAGGGGAGCAGCCCCAGTATTGGTGGATGGTTTTTGTTGGTCCTGGGCACGCCACTGTCTGCAAGTTCTCCTCTCTCCGCAGGACTTGCCTATTTTTTAACATATAACGTGCTTTTTTTGTCTATCTATGGAATAGTGGCAGCTTCATAGCAGTCTGCTTTGCATGCACCAGGCATTTAACTGAGCTACTACCCCCTGTTGAGCACTGCAGACACGGTAGCATTTCCTCCCTTGCTGCAGGGGATGCTTTCCCAGACCCCAGAGAGTGCCTGTGACTCAACGCTCTCTCAGTCTTCATTCAGCACTGTGACCGGAAGTGTTCGGTTTTCGATGCAACAGTGAACATAGCAGGGATTTGCTTCCCTTCCTCACAGTTCCACTGATGGAAGATTTGATCTTATAGATCTGAGTCATCTCAGCGAACAATTTTTCCATATTAAGATAAGAATTTTTGTCTTTTCAACTGGGAATTAAAAAAAATTCCACATCCAAATCTCCAGTGTCCAGTGTGCTTGATCTTTAGGGCTGTTGTTCAATAAAGTAAGGGTCAGCTGAACACCAGCACAGCCTGCAATGCCACAACAGTCATTCTGAACACCAGGGTGGCTGCTGAGTGCTAGTAGGCCACCAGCCATTGCCATGACACTGAGCAACTGTGCCTCTTCTGTAGCTTGAATAGCAGGAACACACCACCATAGTGTTGAGATGGAGGCTCCTGACCTTGAACCACAATCCTCTATCATCTCCACGTCCCACACTGCTAGGATCGCAGGCCTAAGCCACCATGCCAGGTCCGTTTTCACTACTTTTAAATGAACCACTCTATAGCCCCAAGTTCATTCACACCCTTCTCCCGCCCCAGCCACTGTCTGGTCAGACTGAAACTCTGCCTCCTTGAGCAGCCTCTCTTCAGATCTTGGAAAGACATTTGCTTCCTGTCTCTATAAAGTTTGATTCTCTTGGAAACTCGTGTAAGTGGATAAAACATTTCTCACTGAGTGTCTGGCTTCTCTCACTCAGAACGATTTCGTCAAGGCACATCCGTATTTGTATCATGTGTTTCTTTCTGTGGACTTGAATTATAGTCAGGTAATTTGCCTTTTATTTCTTATAAGAAGGATCAACTGTACTAAATCATCTTCATCGCTGTTTATCTGAAAAAGTCTTTATCTACATTTAGCTTTGGTGGCTTGTGCTAGGTATAGGATTCTATCAGGATTTCTTTTTTGTCCCTTTCAGTACTCCACTGTTTTTCAGCCTCCATTGCTTCTGCTGAGAAGTCATCTGTCAACTTACTGAGGTTCCTTTTCTCCTGTGAATCCTGTTTTTCTCTTTATCTTTCATTCTGAGTACTCTTGCCATGAAGTATCTTTCTGTAGGTCTCTGATTTTGTCCTATTTGAAGTTCATCAAGTTTCTTGAGTTGCTATTTTTTTTCAAGAAAATTTGGGGATCTTTCAGTCATTATTTATTTGATTTTTCCTCTTTTTCTTTTTCTCCTTCTGGTATTTGCTTAATGCACAGTCTGGTGTGACTCATGGCATTTTTAATTTCTCTTTATTCTGTTCTCTGTTCTTCAGCCTGCAAAACCTCCATTGATCAA